CCAGGCAGTCTCTTTCAGCAACTCTCTTTTGATATAACCGAATGAAAGAGCGTTTCGCGGTTATGCAATTCGAAAGTGCCCGCCTTACTTTACGTATCGCGTTTGAAGGTATATGTATATATGTATATTCGTGAATGTATATGTAAGCACTTACATGAACGAGTATGCGTGCATGTATCGACCTGTCGTGCTACATTGACAAAACGTCGAGCTTTTACTCGCTTTCCTCGAGAAAAGAAAAATGAAAAAAGAAAGAAATAAAAAGTCAACCTTTTGTATGCATATAAAAAAAGGATTGAAAGGCTTCGATGTGTCTCGGATGAAAAAATGAACGTGTGCTCGTTACTTCTTCGAATAATTTCGATTATCTGAAAAAATTGTAAGTTTAATACTTTGCGGCGACTGTTACTATAAAGTGAGTATTTTAATGGGGAAAAAAAGAGGTATATATAATAACTTTATGAAAACATCACTTATCTTTTTTTTTATCTTATTTTTCCTTCGCCTTACATCGTAATTAAGAAATATCGGTATTGGGGCTTATTATTAGAATTAAAATAAATGATCGATGAGAAAGCGAGTCATTTGAAGAAACGTACGTGAGATAAATATATTTTTCAGTATATTTCGCATAAAGAGTTCAAGGTTGATAAAATAATAATCTGGATAAATTGTTGCTTGAAAAAAAGACACGTATACTGACTGATACATCGTTACGTACCTGTTTCCAAAATTCATTTTATGTAGAATAATTTTTACAACTTTTAAGAAACTAAGGCAGCTTCAACTTTTCTGAAAAGACAAGAGAAAAAAGATAAATACGACCACGGTATAAGCTCATTTTACGATTATTAAGAAAAAATGGCAGTCAGTATCGTTTGTTAATTGGTAATCGATAAGCGCATCAAAAGAATAATATTCCTATATATTATACATATATGGATACGTATATGTAAGTATATGTCTCTTCGTTTGTATGAATAATATTATATGTGACTATAGGTGTATAGCAATCTCGACGTTTAGAAGTCGTATAGATACAATGCCATTTGCAGGATCTAAAGGTCCGATCGATCTCAACGATC